AGTCTGTATCATATAAGCAACTATTGGAGAGGAGAGCTCAGTTTTCCAGGCACTAGGCCACACGGCTCTATTGATTCCTGTGCACAGGCTGAGACAGGAGCTCTCTGCCATCAAGCCTGTGTCCAGCGGGGCTGGAGTGGCCTGGATTTTCCACTGCTGCTCATCCCGCTTTTCACTTCGATTCCCTCGCTGTCTTTCTCATCATCAGGGTAGTTTTTTGGATGCTTTTCACCCGGTGGGGTGCACATACATTTTTATTGCTAATCTTTTCAGTTTTTCCTTTCCTGATAACTTTACTTGGAAAGCCTTTGCACATCGCAGTTTAGAAGTGTAGCTTTCAAGAGTCCGCCAATTATGCCGTCTCACCTCATTGTCATTGCTAATTTGCTTTTAAAAAAACTAAGATGGCAAAGTCTGAGTAGTAATTTGCCTAGACAGAGCTTAAAAATAAAACTGCCTGAGAACTAATGATTTAAGACAGACCAGAGAGCACTTGGGAGGGGAAAGAATGGAGGGTTGTGAGAAAGCAGACGCTACAACTTTCAACTCTAAAATCCCAACTGGAGGTAAAGCTTTTCTCAGGGTGCTGTATAATTTACCTATTGCTTCATAAAATTTACCACTTGGGTCCTCACGGTTGTTGGAGTGGAGGCCTCAGTTTCTTGCTGGCTGGTGCCTGTAAGCCACCCCCAGATCCTGGCCAAGTGGGCAACAGTGTAGCCTGTGTGATCAGAGCAAATACATGAGAACAGAGGATACACTATAGAGTAATCCAAATTTTCCATCTGAGGGTTTAATTTACCTGAATATGCTGAAATAAATTGTCAATAGATTAATAGGAGGAAAGGATGCGTATTTATGACATACATGTGTGCATCAGTCCTACACAAAATATGAGACTCACAGAATGGCCGGATGATGGAAGCTCAAATACCCTCTTCATAGGGGAGATGGAAGTGGGACGTGCAGGAAATTGTAGAGGAAGAATTAATTATTTTTAAAGGAGAAGAAGGGACCTGAAGAATCGACAACAGCCTGGGACCAAGGTCCTCTGGGCTGTGTGTGGTGTTAACTCTAGTGCACACCAGTCTTCCTTAGTTGATGAGATGTCTAGAGAAGGAATTCACAACTATCTTCTGGAGGATCTGACCTTTAGGGGGTTCAGAGAAAGCCCTTCTCTGCAGTGCCATTCCTCAGGGGTGCTCAGTTGGAAGTCAAGAGTGGCATATTTTGAGGCATCCTTTTCCTGAGCCCCGAGTGGAGCTGTAGAGACAGCAAGCCCAAAACACGAAAGTCACTATGTTTTATAACCTAGTATCGGAGGTGACATCCTATCACATTGTAATATTCTAATCACGAGAGGCAAGTCACTAGGTCCGTTTCACTCTCAGGGGGTAGGGCTCACACGGGGAGTGTTAGGAGCCAGTGACCAGTGGCGACCTCAGCACTGTCACACAGTAACCAGTTCATATGACAGTGCTGAGCACTTGTTGTGATTAACATGAACTTGAAGAACTGAATTCCTTGTCAGCAGTATCTGTGCCCCGTGCAACCATACTGTGTTAAGTACTCTAGTAAATTCAGAATCAGCTGATCGTCTAGAATAACTTCCTGAAGCACGGTGCGTGCCAATGTTAAAATAGTATAAAAACATCAACCAGATTGTATTATGACTAGCTGAGTGAACTCTCATTTGTATTTTTCATCTCATATGTAGAAATGAATACTTGGGTTCTAGTCATTTCGATAGCTTTTTTCACAGAATGGAAATTGGAAACCTTACATTCTAAACTTAGATCTGCAAACAAGTACTGTATGAAGTGCACCTTTATATCCCATTTCTTTTTTAATTTAATATGCAATGTTATTGTTAATTGAAAGATAATGTTAATATTATATATTTATGGGATACATTGCACACCTGTTGGAGGCATTGCTATCAAAAAGATAAAAGATAACAAGTATTGTGTGCAGGGTGGAGAAAAGGGAACCCTGTGTACTTAGTGGGAATGTAATTAATTCAACCATTGTGGAAAACAGCATGTCTTTCTTCTTTAAGGTATAACTTACTACTAACTGGTCAGCTTTTGTCATTTTAACCGTCTTCTTTTCAGGTCATTGGGTTTATTTATCTTCATGGTATTTAAAGACTGTTTTGAGGAATTAGGTAACACACATACAGCTGTTCTTCTTTCGGCTTCCCTGTCAAGCCACACTCTAAAATACAGTTCTCTGCTCTTTTTAGTATGGGGGATTAAGGAGAAAAAAAATATATACAGACACAAATATAGACTCAATTTCAAATTTGAACTTGCTTTGCTTCCTGCATTTGTAAGGCCATCTTAGTTCTCCTCCTCAAACACGTGGGAATCCTTCACTCCGGCTAACATTTCTTATTCATTCCCAGCTATAATAAAACACAGGGCGCAATCCAAGACAGAAATGAATAATTACCACCAAAATGGGAACTGATCAATATGATTTAACTTTATTTTGCTTACATTTATGAATAGATATACTGACCTCAGCTTACATACATTTTAATATCAGAACGTACATATCCTTTAAATTTTGAGAATAACAACGACTTTATTCTTTCTCCTAAAATTAAGTTCTGTTTTTGCCGTGCTAGAATCTGAAAGGCATGTCTTTCTCTTGAAAGTTTTATTTGAGAGAGGGAGAGGCAGAAACAGAGAGAGAAGAAACGCTTTATTCCCCTGAAGACTTAGGGTAAGAGAAGTGAGGTACTGAGCACAAATGGATTAACTGACTGCTCTACAAACCCCAAAGAGCGTATTACAAGTTGAAGAGGGTACGGTACCAATTATACCATTATCTCACCCTCCTCTCTGGGTGAATAGTCTGCAAGCCTAAAATTACAGTTGCTGTTAAATTTCTTGGCTTCATTTGCAAATTGGAGTCATTTTCTTTTTGTGTGTGTGAGTGCCATAAACACACGCTTTATTGTTTAAGGGGAGCAGTTCTTATAGTTTGTTATGATATTTTGCTTCTTTTTGTCCCTCATGTCAAAGGGCCTTTAAGAAAACTAAAAAATTGGATTGTGGCAAATCGGTGTAACATTGTGTTTCTGAGTGATTTGCCATGGTCTTAAGTATCATTTGTGCGGGGTCTTTTTGGCATGTCATTTGTTAGGAGACCGGTTCTGGAGAAGGGCCTTCAACTGGCCAGATGTGCCAGCTTGGAACAGATTGAGGGCCTGCCAAAACACCATTTGTTGCCAATACCGGATATTTAGGGGTGCTCATCACCCTGTTACCATATTTTTGCACTTCTTAACATTGCATAAATAGGCAGCTGTTCTGTATTTGGAATATAAATGAGTCCCCGGCTTGCTCTCCCTGGAGGTTTTACCTGCAAGACGGAACCACAGTGTTAACTCCTCCTCATCGCTCCCTGGCTGTCACACTTAGCTGCACACTTCCCTGACTCACTCAGAAGCAAATCCTTATGCATATAAATCACACCTTTCCTGCTAGTTAGACAAGGAGACCCCAAAATGTGCAGTTCACAGTGCTAAAACGGAACACATTTCCCGAGCAGTGAAAGTAGTAAATTAATCAGGTTAGAAGCTGAGAGTGAACAATTCCTGCTGAATTTTTTTCACCTCTCCTTCAGTAAGAGTCAAGGTTCTGTAATCTCATCAAGGGCCATGACTTCATTAAGATGGAAAACCGGGTTAAAGGATGTGTTGCAAGAGACAAGAAAAGAAAAGCCCTAACAGTCACTCGGCTGTCTCTCTGGAGCTATTTGGAAGACAGAGATTTTTATTTATTTGGAGAATGACAATTAACCTACAGACTTGGCACAACAAAAGAAGTAGAGTGCCGAAGTGGGTCTCATTACAGCCCAGGAAAGGAAGGCGGTTGGTTTGACCTAACGCCCATGTGTAGCACATGATTTACATCCCAGGCGAGCACAAGCTGCCTAACGTTGATTTCAGACAGCTTGGAGGGTGTGTGTGTGTGTTTAGGTTTGTTATACCCATAGGTCCTTTGGAACCCAACTTGTCTGTGTTGGAATGTAAAAGAATAAGAAAAGTGAAGGTAACGAGGAAAAGCAGAGGCAGGCGCCGTGTACGGTACATCCACTGGTCTCGACTACTTTTGTAAATGTTGACATAGCCCTTATTTACCAAATCAAATCAGCGTTCTGAAAGCTGCTGGGGCCTTGTGACTTCTCCAGGCTTTTGATCTTGCCAGCAGCAGAGAAGCACAGGCAGATAGATAGGTGACATTTGGAGAGCCAGGCGCGCCAGATTTTCAGTGGTTATAAGGGAGGTCCAACCTGCTGTTCTCCTTAATGAAAGGAAGGGAGAGTCAGACTGGCAAAAGTGCTATAAGGGATATCTCTGCCCTGAATGTCACGCTGCCCAGATGTCGCTCGGCAGGTGGAGATGCAGAGGGAATGAAGATGGAGTTCTGTGTATGTGGGTGCTTGTGCGTTACAAGGGTGAACAAAGAGCCTGTCTCCTGAACTGTAATGAAATCGGTGTGGATCTTGTCCATGCTCATGTGGAGAGAAGGGACTTCCTCAAAGAGTTCTCGCCCTCTGCCCTCCCTGACTGCCCGGCAGGGCAGCGTGCTCTCAAACCACGTCCCCAACTGCGTGTGATATTCTTTGTAGAACAGAGACTCATACAACATAAAGGGTCCTGTACTTTGCATTTTTATTAAGTCTCAGAACTATTTGATGAATAGTTCTCATCTTATTTGCCTTCACCTTATCTCATTTTTTAAACCAGAGTTTTGAGCAAAAGTACACCAGATCCTTTAGCCAACCATTCCTATTCCACACTGCCAGTATTAGATTGGCTCTAGAATAGTTTAAATTGGATATGACTATGTTCTCAGCAAACAGGCAGGAATTTTTTTTTTTTTGAAAAAAGTAAGCAAGACTTGAAATTAACTTTAGTTAAAAAAAAAATAAAAGCTGAAGTCTCCATCATTGAATTTCCTTTGCCTGTAATTATTTTTCTTCAGTGTTACGAGATGACTTCCGGCAAAACCCCACAGATGTTGTAGTGGCAGCTGGAGAGCCTGCGATCCTGGAGTGCCAACCTCCCCGGGGACACCCAGAACCAACCATCTACTGGAAAAAAGACAAAGTTCGAATTGATGACAAGGAAGAAAGAATAAGTGTGAGTTAATTTGTAACTACGGCCTACAGGGACTGAAATTTTAGTCTTAACATATATGTCTTTTATGCTTTATTATTAATAAAACTGTATCAGAATGCCATTGTAATTTATTGTGTCTTAAAACACTAAAAAAAGGAATCCTCAGATGATACTACAAACAGACGACAATTCTATACATCAAATGTATGTGATAGGTTAATAATTGCACCAATCTGAATACGGGAGGGTTATCTTTACAATATGATATTAATATCCTAGGTATTTTTTAAAGTTTCCAAAATCTTCTACTGATCGTTTAGTGCATGAGTGGTACAGTGTAAATGATAGCCATAAACCATGTTAACTACGTCTAATTTTGGACTATTTTCAAAATTATCAGAGGAAGTAATTTACGGTGATGGCTATCTTAAATCATTATTTCAGTTTTTTTTTAATTAAACAATACTTGTAACAGAAAATTGTATGTATACATTAATTGAATAGCAAGTTTAATAGAGATGAAATAAAATCAAAATAACTGAGTCTGGATGTTAAACATGTAGATAAATATTCTGTTTTCAAAGAAAATTAGTGATTGGTTTCATGAGAGGATTAGGATTTGAAATGAAATGCTAAGAAACAGGGGAATGGCATCATTTTATTTTTTGTGAGGATGCAGGCAACACTGATATGTGAAGGTTCTTCAGAGAAGCAGTCCTCTGAAATAATACATAAGACCCCACATTCTGATGTTATTTTGCTGCATAGTTTTTACATGCAGCTCAATAACTGAGAATAAATTATTTTATTAAAGATAATATCTCATTTGACTAAATAAATGGGCCATTTCTATCAAAAGTTTATATAATCTTGGTTTCTATTATCTTCATATATATGCATAAAATAAATGAAAATTTTTCTTATGTATATCCTGTGATTAAACATGAAACATACCCAGATAGCTGGTGTAAGACATAACCTATTTCTGGTGTAGGGGCAAAGAGGATTGGGCCATTCGCACTGTGAGGATTCAAGTCTTAGGTCTGCTGAAATAAACTTACACTAGACACATTAATTGAAGAAAAAGCCTACAAATGTATTGATGTGCAAGCACATGGGAGTCATGCAAAGTCTGAAACTCAAAGAAGGGCCAGGTGGTTGAAGCTTAATTACCCTCTTCATAGGAGAGAGCGAAATGGGAGACCAGGCAATTTTAGAAGAGGAGAAAATGATTTTCGGGGGAGATGACTGGGCCAGGAGACCACACAATAGCCAGGGACAAAGTTCCTCTGGGCTCTGAGAGAGGAAGTGACAAGTTGTGGGAAAGTGAGGGGCAGAACTGCACTGTGAACCGAGGTTGGCTCACTACATAGATAAAGCCTCTCAGATAATGGGTGAAAAGACTGTCTGCAGGCCTAGTAGTGACCTTTACTTTCTTCTCTTGTAATTAATCTTTCCTGCTTAAGGAGATTTCACATAGGGAGTTTAGGCAATTGTTTTTCTTTCGGAAAAATTCCCTTCTGTCAGATGAGACAACTTTGGAAGGAGTCCCTCTCTGTGCTTGGGGGAAGAAACAAAGGAATGTCAGGGAGACCTTGACTTTGGGGTAGCTTCTAACGCCTTCCAGTTTTCTTTACTTTAAGGTGCTCAGAGCCCCAAAGCACCACAGTTTGTGTTATCATAGTTTCTGAGCCCCAGCACTGGATTGACTGTTAACACGCTGATATCTACATTACCAAAGAGAGTTTGGTTCCCCTTGGATTCCCCAGGGTCTGTGCCTTGGCACCACATTTGTGAAATTGTGCTTCTGGTGATGGAGTAAAATCCATATTCAAGAGTTTCTGGTTCACGTTTGTGGCATTTCTTTTTTGCTTTGTATCAAGCCACCCCTCACCCCACCCCCCCCCACACACAGTAACTTCTAATAACCATTTTATTTAGACTCTGTTTCTCTAGGAAAGTTGACAGTTGTGCTCTGAGCCAACTTGGCTGATCTTTGTTAGACTTCCGAATCCTCCTATCGCCTTTTAAAGGCGTGCTTAGAATGACCTTACTCACATGTCTGGCAACTGGCTGGTGCTCAGCTGAACATTAGTTCTCTTCCACATGGCCTTTTATTTTGGTAGCAGGTTGCATCAGGCTGAGTCCCATGGCGGGCTCCATGTTCCACCTGAAGAAAGAAAGACAAAACCCAATGTGCAAGCACCTTCCTTCTAGAGAAATATTTGCTTTAATTGTATTCATCAAATGAAGTCATATTGCCAACTTCAGCTGCAGAAGAAGGAAAAGTGGCCTCCATGGCCAGGTTTATAGCCTATCATTATACCCTGCTGGGTGTAATTGAAAATGGTTGGTGTTCTTCTCTTCCAACTGAAAAAAAGTTGAAAGTCCCTTTCTATAACGCAGCAAGTTTTAAAGCTTGATACTCTCTGGTGGAAACCAACCTACAGAAGTTGTGTTTGCCTATGAAATTAAAAACTAATGGAGGAAAACAGTATGTTCATGTTCAGTATATTTATTTATTTATTTATTTGCAGTTTTTGGCTGGGGCTGGGTTTGAACCCTCTACCTGAGGCATATGGGGCTGGCGCCCTACTCCTTTGAACCACAGGCACCGCCTGCATTCAGTATCTTTTTAGGAACTCTCAATCATTATACAATTGAGGTTATTAAATTTAAATAAATAAAATTTAAAAACAAAGATGAGAAACTATGAACGATGACACTTACTAAAAGCCTAACTTTGGTTTAGTAATGTCCTCTTTGGCAAATAGATATTTTATAGTAATATTATTGCATTTATTTATTCACTCAATAAAGACTTATCATTTAAGAAACACTTAGAACCTAGTAGATGCCAATAATTTATACCAACTGATTTGTTTAACCTGCTCTCCTTTACAAAAAAAACATTATCTTGTAAATACAGTTGAAACTAGAAAAAGATGATTAATACTAACAACTGAAATATAAGTATCAGGAGAGCAAAGATTTTTACAGTTTTATCTACGACTACATACCAGGTACCCAGAACACTGTAAAGATAATCACAAAGTACTTCGGGACTTCGTCTGAGTCAGCTGAATTTTATTATATTATTTGAAGCCGATACCTACTTTTTCTTTCTAATGGCAAATGATAATGGGAATTCATTCAACAAATAGCAGTGTGAGGACTAAATCTGGATTGAATGAGGTGAAGTCACAAGACTCAAAATAGGACTACATAAAAGAGAAGTTTTCCTTAAAGGAGGATTCTCTAAGAAGGGAATATAGGGACACCTATTGAAGGTGCATTCAAGAAAAGAAGGCACAGGTGAAGATTCCAGACTAGTGGGAGGGTTTTAGGTGATACTCAGGTATTTGTGTATGGAAAGAAAGATGTGCCTAATAATTCAAAATTGTTTAGTAATGATTTTACCTTTTCTGTTTCTCTTTCTTATTTATTTTTATTAACAGATTCGTGGTGGAAAACTGATGATCTCCAACACTAGAAAAAGTGATGCAGGGATGTATACCTGTGTCGGCACCAACATGGTGGGGGAAAGGGACAGTGACCCCGCAGAGCTGACTGTCTTTGGTAAAACACTCTTTTAAATCATCCACTGTTATTGATAGACACTTTTCCTTTGCTTTCAAATATTGTTAGTAACACTAAAAGCCAGGCCACACACAGTTACTCATAATTTCTGATGAGCAGAGACAGATTAGAGTTGTCTTATTTTATGTCTTTCTGATAAAATCTTCGATGTGAAGAAAAACATTCAAAAATTTAATGTGTGCAATTTAGTCATAGATTTATAGGATTTTGTGTTTCATAAAAATGTAAAAAGTCTTTTTTTCTCAAACTCTAATTAAGATATCACCTCTGGGCTCGACGCCTGTGGCTCAAGTAGCTAAGGCGCTAGCCACATACACCTAAGGTGGCGGGTTCGAATCCAGCCCGGGCCCGCTAAACAACAATGATGGCTGCAACCAAAGAAAAAAGATAGCCAAGCATTGTGGCGGGTGCCTGTAGTCCCAGCTACTTGGGAGGCAGAGGCAGGAGACTCACTTGAGCCCAGGAATTGGAGGTTGCTGTGAG